GGTGGCACAGGGGTGATCTGGTGATGGGAAACCCGTGGGGATTACAATCAAGATGGAAAAAAAAAATGTGCAAAATGATGTAAAAATAAACTTTGTAATAAAACAAAAATTAAACAAACAAAAAACAACAACAAAAAAAAAACAGCAGTATCAAGAGTCAGAAAAATAACTACCTATTGTAAGAAATGAGATCATGGCTCACTACTCTTTCTTTTTCTCCAAGGTAAGTTTAAATAACTAGTAAACAACTGTCACATGACACAAAAGAACTTAAGATTCATTAGTTAATTTCATATAGCCATCAAATTTTGAGGTTTCAGTAACTTCTGTAACTACTACTGCCAGCTTACATAATTATTAAAATTTTTCAGTGGGGGACATGGGCAGATCCTTGAAGCAGTATATAGTTGAGCCAAGAACAGCATGGGATTAGGGGCACTAACCCCCCTGCACAATAGAATATATGCATATAACATCATGTAACATTTTGAGTGAACTAGCAATATGAGTTCACCATAATAGCAACAGGAGATTGTTACAACAGTGCAGTATGCACTGCAGCTAATTTTATGTATTTATGATTTGTTTGTTTCTGTTTCTCTTGACTGGAAAGGCACTTAGTATGGTCTATGTTTGCATGCATTAACTTTTGACATATATTTAACTTTTTATAATAGATTTCCATATATTTTATCTAGTAAATGATAAAAACAGACAATTAACTACATATATTCTATATACTCGTGTATAGAATAGAACCTAACTTTTTAAAACTTTGTATTTCTAGCTGTTTGATCATCTGCAAGGTTCTTTTGTTTTTGTTTTTTAATTGTATTGAAGTATTACTGGTTTCCATGATTGCTAGTATTCTGTAAGTATAGGATCTCTTCCCCCCTCTCCCCAGGATGGTGGGAATGTAGACTGGTTCAGTATCTAAGGGAAAAGTATGGTCGTTTCTTATAAGACTAAAAAAAAAAAATGGATCTACCACACAATCCAGTAATTCTATTACTGGGTATTCAGCAGGAGAATACAAAAACATTAATTCAAATTTGTAGTGCCATGTTTTTTGTAGCACTATTTATAAAAGCCAAGCTATATAAATAATCTAAGTACTCAAAAACCAATGAGTGGACCAAGAAGATGTGGTGTATTAACAATGAATACTAATCAGAAATCAAAGAAGATAAATTCATGCTATTTGAGGCAGCATGGATGGAGCTGAAAAAGATTACACTAAGCAAAACAAGTCAGAAGGAGGAAGGTAAATACTGATAGTGTCAGCTATAAGTGGAATACAGAGAAATCAAACAAAGTGAAACTTGAAACCACTCCTCAAAAGCTGACCATAGAATTGAGGCATCCAAAGGGGGAACCTTTCCCATAGAGTTACGGAAGTAGAGCCATAGAAGCTTGAACCTGATTCCCTAGGGCCAAGTTACCAGAGACCTGTTTGTTATGCCAATATTCTAGAAGTCTCACTAGATTGTCTTACTTCTCTTACAGGGCTCTCTCCCTCAGAAATGTGCCCACCAAGGCTTTGGACTCATTTTGGCCCTGCTAAGCTCCCTGCCTATTTCCCAGAAGTTTGTCTGTAGTCCTTTTATTCCTTGTGGCCTGTGAAAACGGCTTATAATAAACTCTTAAATATTAAAAGAGAAATTTTGATATAAAGTTAAGTCACAAGTCTAGTGCTTTCAGATAACAGAGATAACTGGAAAAGCAAAAGCACATGCAGGAACAAAATGCTCAGATAACACACCTCTTCCACAAGAGACCAGTGCTGGCGGTTACTGCAGATGCTCCCAGGAAAGCCACTATCATTAGTTGTCGCCTGGTCTGTGGAGGCTGTGATCCTGCATGGTGCCATCGAGAGTGCACAGCCAATTCAGCCAATGCAGCAAGTGATTTAAGACGAAACATCCTGTGGACAAAAGTAGAAATGTTACTCCTAATGTTAATGGTAGGGTCAATGATGATGATGGTAGTGATGCCATGTAGTAGTATCAATGTCACCAACACTGAGTACTTGCTTAATGGCAGGTAGTATTCTAAACACTTTGTATATATTTTATCCCATTTAATCGTAAGAGAAAACATGTGAACAAAGTATTATAAACTAATAAATCAGTCACTGTACAAAGAAGGCAAGAAACCACATGGCCACTGGAACAAGGAAAATTTAATATAAAGTATTAATTACAACAGGGGACTCAGTACTAGAGGATAAAGAAAGGGAATGGATACTTTATCTAGGGCACCAAGAAAGGAATATATCTGTAAAAAGGCCACTCCTATGGTCCTGAGATCCCTACATTATACAAAGGACACAGGTAGTATCTGAGAAATTTACTAAAGTGCCATGCCAACAGAACTCACTGTAAAGCCATTGATTGGGAAAAAAATATTCTGAAGGAGCTTGTTGAGAAGATGCCAATGGGTAGAAAAACCACAGTATGGAACACAATGCGAAACTCCAGATAGGAGTATAGCCCTTAAGACCCCCTCGCAATTGAGTGTCACTGGGTATCTCAGATGCTGCCAGTCACTTTATGCCACAGAAGCAAGCAGCAAAAAGCACACTAGAATCATTAAGAAATGCCCCTTTCCCAATCTCCCTCCTCTTCCTCTACTGACAATGTTTAACAACAGCTGGCAATCAGGATTTTCTGGTATCAAAAACAGGCCAAAGAAAGAGGAATTTAAAAATGAAAAACAACAGCTTGATAACTAGCACATCCATTTTTCACATTTGGAAATGGAGATGCTGTGACTCGCTCAAGAATATGCCCCAAAAGAATCTGCACTGGGACAGGACTGACTTGAACCCATTTTCAAACTAGGACACTTTGCTGTCTCCTACCTTATAGTACTGATACTGTTCTTGTGAAGGTAACAAGTTTTAGTTCTTACAAGGTCATTGGGAGCTCTCCTCCTCATCAGATTCTTTGGCTTAAGATTTATGATTCACCAATTACTTTAATTTTTATTTTATATCACAAACATCTGTACTGGGTTATGTTATTGTTCAATAAATACCTACTGTCAAACCTCCTAGTCAACAAAGAAACAAAGCCTACTTTCCCACTCTTTTCCTTTTTGGTTTGTTTTCTCATATGCCTTGCTGTTACTGGTGAAATGTTGATCAGTTTCAAGAAGTGCTTTTAATAAGTAGTTTTGTTAGCCTTCTTTAGTTACTGTAATCTCCTAGGAGAAGATCATGTCATACCGTACAAGTATCTCTACTCTTTGTGGAAGAGTTTACTCACTATGTAAAATGAAAGCACTGACTAAATGAGCTTTAGAGTTTCTTATATCTCTTTAATTCTCTCCATATCTCTGTTGAAAAATAATATGGCAAAATTTTATGTATTACTTGGGAGAGAACTATGGTCACATCGCATATAGGAGACTTAATGGTTTTGAAAATCCTTTTTCTGTATACCATAGCTCTAGAAGATTAAACTTTATAAGTTATTTTACTAATATTCTACTTACATTTTTATGCTGTAATTCAAATGTTATTGTTTCTTATTTCACCACTGGTTTGAATCTCATTTCCCAAAGTACATATCAAAAGCTCTAACTATTTATCTTTAGTGAAATTTTTATAGATAGTAAGTAAACAAAAATTTAAAAAACTAAACACAGGCTGTATTATAATTTAAATCTAGTTTTGTAGTGAAGACATTGAGTAGCTAGTTGAATATGTTGATTTTTTTTAAAGATTATTTATACAGACAGAACTGGGGTACAGGCCAGAGGTGTGGGGGGTGGGAGTTAAGAGGATTCACCAGAGACACAGTGGGAACAGGCAGACTGACTGAAATCTACTGCTGAGGGGAGCAGCAGTGGGTGGGTCAGGAGAGGTCTGCCATACCATGAGGGTCACCCCTTAGCCAGGGATCAAACTCGTGCTGCAGTGGCTATGACAGCTTCATAGTGCTGTGCTTTTACCACTGCATACCAAGGAGGGCCCTGAATTTGTTGTCTTAATGAGAGACCATTTAAAAAGATTTAAGCATATCAATTTTCGAATAAAATCAATCAGCAGCTATATGGTAATAAAGATTAACATGCATAGTTGTTACGTGAATTAAATTAACTACTGTATATTTTCCCCCTAACAGTTGCCTTACCTCCTCTTCCCTGCAACGGTATGCTTCTAGAAATGGACTTGATGAGAACTGAATTATGAGAAAGTGGTATTTCTAGCCCAGAAATGTTAAGAAAGGTAACTCAAAGATAAGTCTATTACCAAAGAAAGAAGAATTATCTAATCAATAGAAACCAGGATGCAAAAAAACCCCTTATAATAGGGCACTACTAGTTTCTATATCTATTATTTAAAACTTACTTGACTTAAGTAATTAACCAAAAGCTAAATGATTACTTTTGGTAAATTTGGAAAGGTCCCAGAACCTGGAAATAATTTAATTCACTATCCTTATTTTACAGATGAAGGAAATGAGATCCAGACAAGCTGTGGTTTACTCATAGCTAATTAGTGCAAAAACCTACAATAGATCCTGGAATTCTTAATTCTCAAATAAATAACCTACGGGGGCAAAGTTTTAATAACTGCTCTTAGTAAGATAGATTAGATAGATAGATTAGATAGATAGATAGATAGATAGATAGATAGATAGATAGATAGATAGATAGATAGATAAAATAACCACACTTCCAACACGCCAGAGGTGCAGGGGCGGTGAGAGGATTCACCAGAGACAGAGTGGGGAGCAGAACAGGCAGACTGACTGAGTATACCGGGGAGCAGTGGGTGGGTCAGGAGAGGTCTGCCATGCCATGTGGACCACCTCTAAGGTGGGGGATCAAACTCGCTGCTGCAGTGAGCTTGCAGTGCTGCGCTTTAACCCGCTGCACCACCAGGGAGGGCCCAAAGCTAAACATTCTTTAGTAAAAAGTTTGGCTGAATGCATTATTTTAGAAGAGTGTCATTTTATTACTTTGTCTTTTAATCTAAGGAATAAGATAAGCTTCTGGAAAGAATTACTGCAAAACCATGATACTTGTAAAAATTCAGCAATGCATTATACTTTAATCATGCCAAGTAAATTTTAAAACATCTCCATATATCTTTTATATGAAACTAATCAGATTAAAAGTTTTGCAATAAAAACAGATGACTGCCAATATATAGCAGAAATTAACATTCACATGTAGAAAAAAATGCATTTTCATATCTCAAAGTAACAGACATAATGACAGAATACAGAAAAGCTTACACTTTGGCTAACTCTTTTCTATGAAGTATTTTCCAACAGATGAGAGCAAGTTATTTTTAAATATCTGGGTGAGGATGTGAAGTTAATTTAAGTGTTGCAAGTGTCTAACAGCATAAAATTGTAACTGTAAGAACCAGAATAATCTTACAGAAATGTTAGGCTTGATGCAAATTTTTTGTACATATTCCTGCCAAAGTAAGATGCTACTGAAAAGCAAACCAGTATCTAATAGTATTCAACTTTCTGTCAAAGATTCCTTCATCTATCAAGAACTCCATGGCTCCCTTTCTCAACACATACATACACACCCCAATAAATCCTTTACTATGATAATAAAATCTAAAATCTTATGTATAGTGATGAAGGAGAAGAGAGTGGTGACAATTTTCTTTCTCACATAAGTGCGAGTACACATCCACAACTGTGGAAAAGGAAAAGAAAAAAATAAATCAAACAAATAGTGTATTTAAAACAAAATTAACTACTCAGGAACTTATGGAAATGATAAATTTTCTAAAACTGTTAGGATTTGCTAATATGTTGAGATCACATGAAGGGCAAAAATTAAAGTCTAAATATACCAAATCTGGTGAGGATATGGGTCAACTCCATCTCTCATACACTGCAGGTGGAAAGATAAAATAGTACAACCACTCTGGAGAACAGGTTAGCTGTTCCTCTACATGTTGAAGACAGAGTCAGTGTATGACCCATTCTATTCTTAACTGCCCAAGAGAAATGAGCACATGTTCACTTTGTTGCACAAAAACTTGCATGTAAATGTTCACAGCAAGTTTATTCATAAAAACCAGAAGCTGGAAATAACCCAAAGGTTATGAATAGACAAATGGATAAGGATATTGTAGAATACCCATACAGAATGACATACAACAATAAAAAAAGAAATACATTTTGATACAAAAAACATGGAGTTATTTCTAATAATTATGCTGAGCAAAAGGAGGAGACAACATAAAGTACCTACTTTCCTTAATAAGAAAATCAGGAAATGACAGAAAGCAAACAGTGGCATCTTGAGAGTAAAGGAATGAACTGAAAAGGAACACAAAAAATGTTATGGGGTGATGAGAATATTCATTAACTTGTTCATGGAGACTGTTTCATGTTCATATACATATATCAAAACATCAAGTTACACACTTCCATTTGTACTTTGTTGAGTGGCAATATAAAGCGATCATATGGTCTTCTAATAAAGTTATTTCATTATAACATTAATGAGGAAAATAATCATGGCCAACGTTGAATGAGACATTATTCAAGGGTCTGCTGAATATGGAAACAACAGCACAACAGGGAGAACTTACACAAATATGTTGAAAAAAATAAATGCAAGACTTAAAAGAGAACATACTGTTGTAGCGCATTTTTATAACACTTTAAGAGTGTTATAAATAAAAAGACAATATTAAACCATATTGTTTTGAGGATGTAAAAATAAAGGAAAGCCAAAAAATTGATAATAGAGGTCATAATAGGGTTTACCTCTGAAGGAAGTGAGAGACTTGTGATAGAAACAAGTAATGGCAGTGAGGATAGAAGGGCCTGAGGGCTTAGCAATGTCCTATTTCTTAATCTGGGTAATAAATCAATAGGGACTCAGTAATTATTCACTACAGTGTATCTTTTTTAAAAAAGACTTATTTTAGTTAAA